GTGTGCTGGATTAAATGGGGAATGTCTCCCATAGGTTCATGTGTTTGAGCTCTCGGTCCCCAGCTGGGATTGCTGTGTGTGTGTGGGGGGGGGCGTGACAGAACCTTACGGAAGTGCAGCCTTGCTGGGGGAAGTACATCCTGGAGTGGCCTTGTCCCCGCACCATGTGTTGATGGAAATGTGACCAGGCAGTTCACGGCTCCTGCCAGCCTGCCGCGCCTCTCACCACCACAGACTCCAGCCCTCTGGAACCATGAGCCAAAGTGAACTCTCTTCCTTAAGATGCCTTTGGTCATTCTCTTATTCACTGGTCTATTGCTGTGAAGAGAGACCATGACAACTCATATATATATATATATATATATATATATATATATATATATATATATACTTTTTAAAATTACTCTATGTGTTTTTCATATCATGTATCTTAGTCCCCTTCATTCCTGGTCCCCTCACATCTGCCCTCTGCCCCTGCTCTGCCCCCCACCCCCATCCCTGAATAAAACAAAATTCAAGAGAAAAAAAGGAAGAAGATAAAAATGATAAAAAAAAATTTTAAAGGGAAGGAATTAAAAACCTCATCACGGAAGCTGCAGTACGACCCAACAAGTCACACCGTCTAGTCACTCCTTGGTCTATTTGCAAGTATTCATTGCAGAGTCATTGGTCTGGTTCCAGGACCCTGGTCTCCATGACGCCTTTGATGCTGGGCCCCCACTAGGACTCCTGCTGAACATCCTGCTGCCGCCCTGTGTGGTGGAGACCCTGCAGCTTGGGGTCTGTGGGTCAGGTCCTTTCATGTGGATGTTGGGGCAGGCCAAGTCATAACCCTGGGTCTGAACCTGGGCAGCTGTAGGGTTGATCCACCAGATGGGGAATGGGCACAGCTCTCCCATAGTCACAATTTCAGGCTGGCTCACCCACACCTGCACTAACAGGGTTGGCTCTGTTGTGCTGCCCTGGTGAGGTGCGGGGCCTGATCTCCCGAGTGTTACAGCTGGTGGGGGTCAGGGTGGTGGGATGGCTCTCTCACTCTTACGACCCCAGGGCCAGCTCTCCCACCTGCCTCTGGCTTTGATGGGCACTGGGGGGGGCACTTCTCCCCTGCCCATGTCACACAGCAGCTCTTACGAAAGAAAGCATTTAACTGGAACCTTGGTTACAGTTTCAGAGGCTTAGTTG